AATTATCAAAACATCAAAATATAGGGGAAATGTAAGGTCAAATTTTGCAAGCATACCAACACAATTACTTATGCACATATGATTAGCTTAAAATCTTGCTAGCACCATGGAAAAATATTTTATGGCAACAGCGATATTCCAAAATAGATGAGACATAGATAGATCCATCTACTTGACTAAATCTCATAAAAATATTGAAATAACTTTTGTTTCACTTTATATTGATGGACAGCTTTATAGATACATTCATCTAAGTATCCAGCTTGCAAAGTAATCCGTCTTCGCCGGTAGTTCAAATGTTCGCACAAACAACCAGCTGAAAACTACAACTGCTTTGATCTCAATGCTTCAAAAAACTTGGCAAATTTTTGCTAAGGTATTTTTAAACGATACAGTAGACCGACAATCGTCGAAAGACCATAAAATACAAAACACTTGTTAAACCTCGATGCAACAATAGCAAATGTGCAGATGAGCACCAAATTCTGTTGGTCTTTTCATGATGTTTAAAGTGCTGTTTGTGGGGTGTTATACTACAGATTCCTGTTTTATAGCCAGTTTCATTTGAATTTTTTCAAGAAAAAAGAAGTAGCAACTGACTTTTTTTCTGCAAAATATCAAGGCGTGCCAGTTTAAAAGTGGGCCTAAATTGGATGCTTCCACACTTTAGGGAGGCCAAATTTGGTTTCATGAAAAAAATCTGCGTGCGTGTTTTTTTAACTGTTTTGGGATTTAAAAATCGTTTTACGTTTGTTTCCTCTTCAAAAAAAAGAAACCCGATGTGCTGGGCACTGTTTATTTTTCAAATGCATATTTTATTTGTACCCTTATGTGTGAAGCAAATCTGCTTACGCTAAATATATCGTTTTTTATTTGTAAAAGACCCAGTTTTCAACTTTTTTTTACAGCTCCATGAACCTAAATGCACTAAAGTTTGTAAAAAAAACTTTGACCCTATTCCGCTATTTATTAAAATTACATGTTTCTCTGAACATACTAATAGATGTTTTTTTAATGAAAAAAGCATTCAACCGATGAAGCAATTTTTTCTTAATTAACATCAACAAAGCCATGGCCTCCTCAGCAAAAATTATAATTTCTACTTGCAAAAAGCTCAGCACCAATATTCTTTCGCTCAAACTGGTAGGTAGTAAAATACAAGTGAAGTTATTCTTTTTGTAAACTTGACTAGAAAAAGCAAATACGGCAAGAGTTGTCGTCAAACCGCCTTTCACGAATCTAGTACTATTAACAAAGCAACGGCTTTTTTTTTTTTTTTAAAAGAAATACGAACTAAAACGAACACAAATATTTAAGTCTTTCAAACCACTGCTTCTTCCCTAATGACTAAGCACTTCCACTTCTGTATAACTTAGAGCACGTTGACTTTACTGACTTTAAACCGTAAAATGAGGTGGTCGAGAGACTAATGTACAATTCTGCACTTGTTTTATTTACTTTCTCTTGTAGGAATAATAAGTCTATCGCAGTCTGAAAAGAGAAAATGGCTACAAAATAGTTTGCTAAATTTCTTCTAGAGGATGAAAATTAAAGTGCTGACTCAATGAATTGTGGCATACTACGGGGTGTAATACATTCGCCCATTCAGAGTCTACTTTTTTTTGAACTATGGGCACTGCAAACAAAACCTTGATCCAAAAAATCTAATACCCTGAAGACTAGCCCACCATCAAAACCACCGCATAAAACCAGTAAATTTTACGTCAACTAAATCAGCATTTTGAGAATAGTCAAGAACAGGGCCCTGGGCTTGGCAGGATTCCAGAAACTCTTTCTTTTTACTCTCCAGACAGTTTTTGAAGAATTTCGAGAGGGAGGCAAAGCATAGTTTTCTTACTTTTTTTTACAGGTGCTACCTGAGTTGAAATGTTGCTCTCTAAAACGCATTCGGAATGCAAATGTACGCTTTATCCCGTAAATGTTATTGTGATTTTGTGCTGCTGTAATTAGTTGGCATTTTTCCATGACGTTTTTCTTCCTCAGTTTTTGGACTGCTTGTACTTCCAGGGAAGGGTTACCTGTTTAACGTGGTTTATGGGTCCTAAATTTTCCCGAATCTTGCCAGTTGAGCCTTTTTATGTTCTGTTAGAGGTGTTGCTCTTTTTTATTACATATTTTTTTCCAGATATCGAGAGGTGTTTTTGCTGCTATATTTCTGTCTCTTTCCCCCACGGAGACTGGCTTTTTCCTAGTTCTTTTAACTTGTTTTATTTTCGGTCTTGCTCATCAGTTGTTATTGGGCAGTTTTCATGACTAATTTCATTTTTGAAGATGTGTGTAGGATTGTGAGAGATCTGGTGCTTGTTGCTCTTTCACTGTTGGAATTGTAGAAATGCACTTCACGCTCGTTTCCTTTGGTATTCACATCTTTGAGTCTTAAAGTTTCCGCAAAAATTTTAATCTTCAACATGGATTATGGTAGGCTTATCTCCTAGGCTTATTTTCCTTTAATTTATTGGCTGCTGTATTTCTTGGTTCTCTGCTTCTTTTGTAAATTAAGAGATACCTATACTGTCTTCAAGCTTTAAACACCTATAGTTGAACTACGTTTTCCTAATTTCTCTGGTTCCTCGACGCTGTCGTCAGAACGGTAG